CTTGTCGCCCTCGATGGTCGACCGCTCTGCCTCTTCGCACGTTTATCTCAAGGCACAGGGAAAACCTCGCAGTACCACGCCGAGGTGGTGGCGTAGAGGCATTTGGTCAACTGCCACACTCCTCGTCCGCATCGACATCCGGGAGACGAACATATATATAGGGACCGTTGTACACAGTGGAAGACCGCACCGGCCTCGCACCCGTGCGTCCACCGAGGTGCCCATGCTCATGTCATCTCTGGCAGAAGCCTACTTCTGTGAACAGCAGGGGTCGTATATGAACAACTGCTCCTTTCGAACCCCTCTTGCCCATCCTCAATCCACTCGACACGATGCAGTCCAAACAGTTTTACGCCATCATCGTCGCATTTATGTACGTCCTTGGCGTGACCACGATGGTAAGCTCTTCCCTTGTAGGATGCCCTACCTCCAATGCTTATCACCAACAGTCATCCGCCGCCCCGACCCCTAACGCGTTCGTCGTCGAGGCGCCGCTCCTCCGCCGTGCCCCAGCTGCTCTCGACGCTGCGGTGCGTACTGACTAACTCATGTGCCTCGCCATACGCGTCTAACAGCGATGGCACATGCACGTTTAGGCACACGGGCAGAAGCCCCAAGCCTGAAAGGTGAGCTGACTGCCTTATCTCGCACGTCGTGACACGCTAATGATAGACGACGACATCTACAAGCGTTTTTGACGTGTAGGAGTGCACAGTTGCATGTACATCGCATCTTGCCGCAGCGAAGGCGGGAGGTTTGATGAACACGAGCTCTCGGAGCACCGTCACCTCTCTTTCCCGTGCGCCGACATCTGTGACTGGTTGCGTCTTGAACTTGGGCCGTACCCGTCGCCGGATCAGCGCAGTGGTCACTCACCGCCCATATCCAGAGGAATGTTACCACTGCAGTGGCTCGCGCTGTAATAACTCCAAGTTCAATCGTGCGAGGCCCTTCCGACCTCTCCATCAGCCTCATCCTCGCCGTCGAACACCACTGTGCACGGAATGGCGGGATGCACAGTCGCAAATCCTGGTCAAGGTCAGTTCTCGCGTCTTTGATACCTTGGCTGCACATAAACCAGCCCGTACGCCTCGGAATGTGTGTGATGTGTCGGTGCCAACCAAAACAAGTCGATGTGCATGTGAGGTGAGTGTCACTAGTCGCGTCAGCATAGTATGACCGTACTGACGTTGCACAACGCAGCTCAGAAGGGGGCCCGGCGTGCGTCACGGTGTTGACATGTCTGTCTGCCATCGCAGCCACAGCACGTTGCCCCCTACTCAAGGAGTCATCAATCATTCTTGGCGTGAAGCTTGAAGTTGCGCCGTCCATCTGCACCTTGGGCAGCTCGAGAGGCTTGGAGGTTGGCTCGGCCGGCGGTACATCGCCGCCTCAGTCACTGCGATGGCCCTCGAGGATTCCAAGTCATCCTGCTGCCAGTGTGTCGAAGCGAAAACATGACCCATGCCGCGCCCGACGCATTTTCCATGTACAGTGAGTGGACTGCCAATGCGCAGCGGCAGCGACGCACAGTGCACGATACGACTCGGAGCCTCCGGCGTTTTGATGAGCGACAACGTGAGCGCGTCGCCAATGGGTTTTTTTGGGGGGCCGGCTCAGCGGCGTTGTCTATAGAGAGCGCGTTTGCAGTCGCGGTGAGTACGCTCGTCCTCCAGCTCCTTCAAGTTGCGCTCGAGTATGGTACGTGAAGCAGCTGTGCGCTTCTAATCGCGCGGCGCGGCGCGTCCGGCCAGAGCCTTCACTTGACTCACTGCTACGAGAACTGCACGTACATCGCCGTCGCGACACCGCATGCCGTTGATTCGGCATGGGTATGTACGCGACTCGGATCGACGTGTCGCTTCGGGCTCTGATGTCCGCCCTGTCTGGTGGTGCATTGCTTGCCCATCTTGGCCACTCGAGCGTACGGGAGCAGCGAAACCGCGGCTGGGGGGAGCAGCGTATAAAGAGGTCCACTCGCGCTCTACCCAGCTGAGTACGCTTCAGTGGTGGTGACGGTCTTGGAGACCTGCCAGATGTGGACGATCGGATGTTGCCGAACACCGCTCTAGCTACACCGGCGCAAGGTCGGACGTCGATGAACTTGTTCAGCGACTTCCTCGTCCTCAGGCCGGGTTTCCTTCCGTTATGATGGATTCCTGGCACTCCGTGTCCGACGGTTCTTCGGATGCCTTAGTGGTGGGCCGCCGGTTCTTCTCTCGCCGCCCCGGTCGGTGTTTCACATAAAGTCCATCTTCCTCCGTCGAGGGTCGGGGAAACCCTCGTATTGAAACTGCAGGTCGAGTTGCAGGTGTCGATTTCATTGCGTGAGGTATCGCTGACTGCTTCTTAGGTTCTCTGTTCACTGCGGCGTCTAGTGGTACCCCATACGCCGGTCTGAGCATCTCTCACAGCTGCCGCCGCGCGAGAAACGCTCCCTGATTGGTCGCGATCTTCAGCTCCTTCTGTCCGAATCCCGATCCGCGATGGAGCTTGCGTACGGCCCGTGTGTGTACGTCTCCTCGTCGTGACAGAGCATCAGGCTCGGGAGGCGTGCCTGACATCTGGAGATCCTTTTTAAAGCAGAACGACTGTGCATTTGCTGGGACCGCAGTGGTGGTTGCCTCGACCTATTATGAAGCTCTCTCCCGCTTTCTTGATCGCCTTCTTGGTTAGCGGCGCGTGTGGCAAACCGACAGCCCGCCGCATGCTAGTGCACGAGACCAGGGAGAGTATCCCGTCTTCCTTCCGGGAGATTGGCCCCGCCCCGCCCGACGCGGTGCTCAAGCTGCGCCTCGCCCTCGTGCAGGGCAACTTCCCCGCGCTCGAGAAGGCACTCATGGACGTCAGCACGCCCGGCAGCCCCCTGTATGGCCAGCACTTGAGCAAGGAGGAGGTGAGGGCCACGCTCGGATTACTGTGTGTCGCTGTATGACCTCTCACTTACTATTTCTCAGGTCGAGGCACTCGTCGCCCCGAAGCCAGAGACCATGGCGGCGGTCAGCACGTGGCTGACGGAGAACGGCATCAGAGCCTACAAAGCGTCCCCGGCAGGCGACTGGCTTCGATTCGCCATCCCAGTCAGCAAGGCGAACGAGCTGCTCGGAACCACGTTCTCCGTGTTCAACCATACCCCGTCTGGCCGGACGGTCATGCGCACCCTTGCCTACTCCATCCCCGCAGACTTGAAGGGCCACGTCGACCTGGTTCATCCTACTACCACGTACGTCGCGCAGTTGCATGATCGATGGGGCTGATGGCCTTACAGCCCGAAAATCTGCAGCTTCATCCAACCGCTCCAGGCGCCCAAGCTCACATTTATTCCTCGAAAAGAGGTACAGGAGCGAGCACTTAACGTCACATCGGACGCGGTCCCCGCGTCTTGCCAGTCGACGATCACGCCGGCCTGTCTACAGGCTCTGTATGGCATTCCGACCGCCCCAGCGCAGGTGAGCTCGAACACGCTTGGGGTGGCCGGATTCGTTGACCAGTTCGCCAGTACGCAAGACCTCCGTGTGAGTGGCGTCGTGGGCGCAGCGGCGCTCTACAAACGCATGCTAAATGTCCTCAATTACAACAGGCGTTCCTGGAGAACTTCCGCCCGGATATGCCTTCGTCGACAACATTCAAGGTGCTCTCTATTGATGGTGGCGAGAACCCGCAACAATCGAGCCAGGCTGGGATCAACGCTGTAAGCCTAGCGAACCTCATATCAGGGCGGATATCGCAACTGTGAAAATTGACTGAGTACAGGACCAAAATATCCAATACACCGTCGGCATCGCCACCAACGTCCCGACCACCTTCGTCTCGGTCGGGGACGACAATTTCGACAACGCCTTTGGGTTTGTAGACTTCATCAAGGCTGCGATGTCCTGCGACACGCCGCCGCAGGTCGTCTCGATAAGCTACGGCCTTGCAAACGAGAACGACCTGGACGTGAACTTCCAAACGTGCGCCTGCACCAATCTGTGCCTGCGCCTGCGCCGCGTCCGCTGACCCCTGCATGCTGCAGGAACCTCTGCAACATGTACGCGCAGCTCGGCGCACGCGGCATCTCTCTCCTGTTTCCATCTGGGGACAGCGGTGTGGCCGGCATCGATGACACCAGATCATGCACAAGCACCGCCTTCCTCCCCAGCTTCCCGGCCAACTGCCCCTTGTAAGCCCCCTTGTCCCTCCCCCGCTGGACTCCGCAGACATGCTCACCGCCCGCGCGTGGCACAGCGTGACCACCGTCGGGGCGACCACCGGGATCGCGCCCGAGGTCGCCGCGAGCTTCTCCGGCGGCGGCTTCTCAAATGTCTTCTCGCAGCCGTCATATCAGGCCGCCGCCGTGTCTCGGTACCTGAGCACGCTCGGAGGCGAGAACGCGGGGCGCTTCAACCGGAGCGGGCGCGCGTACCCCGATATCGCCGCACAGGGCGAGAACGTGGAGATCGTGTTCGGGGGCCAGCGCGGGCCGGTTTCGAGCACGGCCTGCTCCACCCCTATCGTGGCGAGCGTCGTCGCGCTGCTGAACGACCTGCTCGCGCAGCAGGGCCGGCCGCCGCTCGGCTTCTTGAACCCGCTCTTGTACTCGCTTGGGGGTACGGCGGCGTTCACGGATGTGGTGAGCGGGAGTAACCCCGGGTGCGGCACGGAGGGCTTTCCTGCGCTTGCGGGGTGGGATCCGGTGAGTGCCACGATGGTTGGAGATGGTGTGGCGCTGGACGGGCTACTGACGGGCGTGTTGGGTTTCAGGTTACTGGGCTGGGCACGCCGAATTTCGCGGCGCTCAGGTCGGCCATCGGTGTATGAGGGCGGTTACAAGGCATATTAGTACTAGTAAGGTAGATATGGTTTGAAGGAAGGGGAACATCTGCTTCAGCCTCAATCAACGTCGATACTAAGACACGGCAGAGCTCTAAAAATCCAAGGACGGCACCGGTGATAATCATGACCAGTTTATCTTGCTGCAGTAAGTGGAAGAGTCACAAAAATTGTGGGCACATTCAAAATTCCCACTAGCCGACTTGAACGACTGACCTCGTCATTACACGATTGCATCGTACTAGTGACGCGCTCTACCAGCTGAGCTAAGCGGGAGTTGGGATATGAGACCTGCGTGCGCATCATTGTTGGCTATGTTCCAGCGTGCCGCCTCAGTCTGCTCAAGCAACACAAGCAAGAGCACAACATAGCTACGTACGTACGTCTACACAGTAAGGATCCTGAATGGGTCTGAGCCGCCGCCCTCGAGGCCCGCAAGCACGGCCTGGCGCACCGCGCCGAGGTAGTCCCCAAGCCGCCGCCCGACCTGGCTCGAGAAGTCATCGTACAGCCGGTAGCGCGAGTCAGCGACGACGTTGACGAGTGAGAGCGCGTGCTTGAGATTTCTGCGGGGATACCACGAGGTCAGCATCACGAGAGTGGCAAGGTGGTGAGAATGGCGAGAGGGGGGACAGTCGGCGGAAGGAGGTATAGATGCGGAAGACGTACTCTGGTAGTCTGCTGCGCGAGTTGACAAGCGTTGCGTGGAGGCGGATGATGAGCTCCGGGATGTAGATCTGGCGGATGCGGACGAGGTCGCGGGCGCGCTTCGCAGCTGTGTGAATACCGCGCTCAGCACCGTCCTGTGCCCACAGAGGGTTCGAAACTAGAGTAAAAGCGTACCATTTGCGCCCGAACCTGCGTCGGAGTCGAGCCACTCCGTTGTGAGAAGCTTCACGACCTGCTCGTGTGCCTGCTCGATCAACGTCTGCAACTCCCGAAGAAACGCAGTTAGGTACAGGCGTCGACAGCTGGCAGCCTGTCGGAGAGGATGCGCACCTTGTAGTCGCTTAGCCACGCCGCACGCGTGTCTTTGTTCATCTGCGGTTGCTCGAGCGCCTCGCACTCAGTGACGCGCGCGAGCGCATCCCACACGCCGAAGAACTGGCGGTAGTGCATGTACTCCGTCGCCTCCTCCTCGGGTTCGCGAAGCGTGCCTAGCTCTGGGGGGAGCATGTCCAGAAGGCTGCGCGCTACTTGCACGCGGCCGTGGCCTACGTACAGTGGATGTGTTAGATACTTCAAGGTGTAAGGTGTCAAGGCGGAACGGGGGGCTTACCGAGGAAGTAACGCAGGATAACATTCGTCTGCTCGAGCGCCGTGTCGTACGTGGTCTCGAGGAACGTCGTCCATTCGATAGACCGCACCAGTAACCACTCGGGATCCGTCGGCGGAGGCTCCATCCCACTGATAAACGGCAACGGGCCCCTCGTTGGTGCAAGAATCTGATCATGTTGAAACCTTCAGAATGACGTAGAACTACAAAGGTGAGGGAAAGACGCACGGTGAACGCTTTCTCTATCGTCCTCTCTGCAGTGACGATAGCGACACGCTCGATATCGAGCCCATGCTCCCGCGCACGCGTGAGCGCGAGGCGACGCTCATCGATGTCTGCGGAGAGCTCGAGTGACGTGAGGAAGAGCGCGTATCGCTCGACCGCGTTGTCTCCTAGCGCTCCCGCGTACATGGCAATCAGCTCGCGTTGTCCTGCTGCCTAGGCACGTTGATTTGTCAGAGTTAGACGATGAGAGAGTTTTCTGCGAGGACACACCTCGAGCACTTGCAGGTACGCCTCGAGAATAATCTGCGTCGCGAATGGTGATACGGGCATGTCGATCATCTGTAGGAACAAGCATAGATGCGCGAAGAAACGCGTCATTGTCGTATACCTATAGCCTGGTCAGCATGTGAGAATGCACGTATGCGTGCTCCACTCACTCGGGGGAAGAGACGTAGGTGCCCTCTTGCAGCCCGCCCGCGAAGGCCTCCAGCAGCGCGTCAGTCCGGTCGAGGATGATGTGTAGTTGTGAGACGTGATACGGGTTGTCCGCGGGCGCGCTGCATCGTCCACATCAGCCTCGCCATTTGTGTTGGTCAGGTTCTGCACTTACCCTTCAGCGGTCTGCACGTTGGCAAGTGACTCCAGTGCCTGCATGACTTCGTGCTCCCACTCCTCATCGACGTCCTCCGCACCCTCTTCCGCAAGCGCCGCGGCGCCGCTCTCCAGCGCACCGAGCCCGTTCTCCCAGAAGCACTCGCGCTCGATCGCCGCCAGACCGACGCTCAACCGCTCCTCGCATGAGAGGCTCACGAGTGCCCACAAGTGGTCCTCCCATGTCCGCGCGACCGCCTTCAGTGATGTCGAGGTTTGCGTAGTGGGCGCGAGCGCGGCATACAACGCGCGTTCTGTCGGTGACAAGGCGTTCTGGAGAGTACATATTTTAAGGCGGCTGTCCGGGGCGCGGAAGGAAGGAATGCATACGCTCAGTGCTGCCTGTGAACATATCTTCTTCCATAATCGTCGGCGTACGTTGCCGTGCCACTGCTGGGATTCTTCCGCGTCCTCGTCGTCCATCGCGTTCACCTCGCGAGGCTCGTTCGCTACCAAATGCAGTCAGTCAGCTCTTGGATTCGGGATACAGAATTGGGCCAGTAGTCACGTACCGATAGCACGCCATTGAAAGAGCAAGGCACCGCGGATGCTAGCCGCCCGCCATGGTTGGTTTGCTTTCCTGCAGAGCTCTACGGCCTCTTCGAGTTGGCCTGCGCGGACGTGTGCATATAATGCTTGGAGGACGGCTTTCTCGTACGCCTACGGAGTGCAAGTCAGTACCGGACGCGGTTTGTACTTATACACAGCAGAGTAAAAAAAGAGACGCGTTATATGAGCGGCCGAGGGACAGAGACGCGTATTGGGCATGCACTCCGCGGCTTCGTTCAAAGGCGCATATTTCAAGACAGTACTCACCGCATCATCCGGGGCAAGACCCTTCTCCTCCACCCCATCCCTGTTCACCGCGTCCGGATCAAGCTCCACCACCAGCCCCGCGCCCGTTTTGCCCGTACGCTTCCCCTGCAGGACCGCGTTTCGCGTGAACCGCCAATAGCCGTTGGTGGCGCCAGGGTCAAGCCCAGCTGGAGAGGGCGCGGAGTCGTGCAGCCATTCGCGTACCACGACGAGTTCGGAGAGGAGGGGAGAGGAGTGCATGATGGACTGGGCGAGCGTTGCGGGTGGCGTATATGGGTTCGCGGCGAGCAGTTCGCGGGGGTGGGGGAATTCTGGGGGCGTCGTTTTTCGGAGGCTGTAACATATTAGACCTAGAGTAGTATAGTGATAGATACTCAACGTACGACATGAGAGATTGCAGCAGCGCCCATGTGTCGCTCTCCATCTTCAGGGCTTCGAGTGCAGGTATTGAGACCGAAGTGTCGGGCGCGGCTGCTTCCTGCAACTCTGCTAGTCTGCAAGCAAGCTAAGCACGCTCCATACATATGTTTCACGCTTATACGCACTGCTGTTCGCATATTTCGCGGAGCCTTGGCGCGAAACCGGACTCAGGATGGAGAAGAGCTTCGAGGTCATCCTTGTTCGCCTGGCAGACAGACAGGACCTTCGCACAGGACGCGTAAAGGCCGTCAGACATAGTTTACAAGCTCCAAAGGTAGATTCGGCCAAGTCCAAGCGTCCGAGAGAGCGAGAGAGAGCAGCTAGAAGTTGAGCAGGACGGGAGATGGAGGGAGAGAAGGTTAACGAGAGAGGCGCCGAAACGCGCGCGCGACTGTGGCTGGGCGCTTGTTCCTCAGGCTCCCCCACTCCAACGCCGATGCTCGATATACCTGTAGAAGCTTACACAGGTTAAGAAACACACAATATAATTAATTCTATATAGGAATAGATCAAGAATTACAGGAAAAGATACATAGAAGTCTACAACTCTAAGCTGACTCTGCGGACGGCTTGACCCGCACGACCACCTCAAACGTGCGCTGCTCAACCCGCTCCTCCTCCAATGCACCTCTTACGACGTTCGCATACGTCTTCACCGCATCCTCCCTCTCGTGCTCATCCACAGAAAGCTCTTGTAACACGTGCGTCAGTGAGTTCCAGGACTCGACCGCCGGTCGAGCGAGCGACTCCAGGGTGATCCTAACTCGCGTGAGCTCGGGGTAGAACCCAGAATTAAAGGACCCGAAGAGGGCTGCCCAGGTTTCCGCGTCCGCCCGTGCATCGGATGGGACCCGCAGCCCCAATTCGAACGACCGATGTTCCGTATAAAACCCCTCTCTCGATGCATCTTCCTTGGCGCTATGTTGGGACTCGGAGTCCGTGAGGAGCTTGGATAGTAGGTCCAGGAAGACATCGATGGTCTGGGAAGTGGTCAAGTCAGCCTCTGGGCTGCGCCACGGATCGTAGCATAGACGAAGCGAGCGTCGGGAGAGGAGGTGTGGCATTGACTCGAGGAACTCGTATGACGCCGTGTCCCACGTTACGTTCCCTGTGAGGAGAGCAATCAGCGGCAATTTTCGACGATATCTCACAGAGGCAGGGACGTACTAACCGCTAGCGCTAGTCTCAGCCAAACCGGTCGTCTGGCAAAGTGTGACCTCGATATCCTGTAGGCTGGCGTTGTATCGACATAGCGCATCCAACCAACGGCGGCGGTGTGAGAGACTGTCCACGCAGATGGCAACCGTGTGGGGAGTCGCACCGTTCCATATGCCTCGGGCGTGATGCAGGAGATCGAACAGTACGTCAGACGGGGTCAAGCCGTCTCCAAGACGTCCAAAGTCGACGATGCGCAATACCTTCAGCCGCCGACAAAACGCGGCTGCCTCGGTCTCGCCTGGACCGACGTCGGGGGCCAGGTGGTAACCGCCCGGAGTTGGGGGTTTCGGCACAAGACCCACGCACGATAAGTCTTCTAGCGCGGGAGTCCGGCACAGGAAGCGTACAAAGCGCATAGGGGCCCCGACGAAAAGGTTTGATAGTGTAAGCGCTCGGAGGTGCGGGAAGTGCTTGAGGTCAATCAGCGAGGGGAACGTCGCGCGCGGAGCCTCGCCATCGCCGACGGGCGGCCCGCGGATGTGGATCAAACAGACGAGAGCGGTGAGGGGAGAACGAGGGGAGAACGTGTTCAGAAAGTCGAGGAGCTCTGTATGGGAGCCGGAGATCTGGAGGTCGATGGTGTGCGAGAGGTGGTACTTGGCGCAGGGGGCGAGCGGGGAGGGGCAGTTTCCAGAGTTGGAGGTGAGCACACATGAGACGAGAGCGCGCC